ACAGACATTGGATTGGCATGGAACTCCCAGCAAAGGACAAGGGTGATTGATGGGCAGAGAAATACTTGGATGCACAGACCAAGAGAGAGTATATGGTGGTGCTGCCATGTGACCTTGAGCCTGCCATCTGCACTTTGGTTTTTACATCTATAAAATGGGAATAGAAACAGTGTCCTCCTTTAAGGGTTCTTCAAGGACTCGATGAGGTGATGCTCTTGATGATAACTGAGTCCAGTAACAGGGAGATAGACAAACATACAGAGAATTGAGCCAGGAATGCTTTATCCAGCTCATGTCATGACAGAAGCTAGAAGGACCCAAAACCCAGGGTGGTCATGAGGGAGACACCTGGTTGGGACCTGTAAACCTGGTGTCAGGAAGGCTGCTCCCAGGAGTGATGGAGACCCTAGTGAAGGTGACCAACAAGAGAACAAGAGAAAGGCAGCTATGTGGAGTGCCTTCTTCATGCCTGGAACAGTGCCAAGGGCTACACATGCAGTAGGCCCTTCCAGCAACCCTATAGGTAGGTACACCATTCCCATTTCATAGGTGAAGAAACTGAGGCTCAGAGAGGTTAAATGTCTTGACCAAAGTCAAGACACGGGGACAAAGTTATGTATCCAGGATGGAACCCTGGGCTGCCGGTTCCAGTACACCCCCCCCCCACACACACACACTGCTGTCCTCCAGGTGCTACTCACTTCCCAGGGCAGGTGGTGACTGCTCCCACCAGACCAGGTTGGGGTGAGAACCGACTTACCCTACCTCACAGGCAGAATAGCACTATATTGGTTGGTTCAGCGTTCATTCAGCAAACATTCTGCTGCTCACCTTAACCGTGAAGGGGGCCTTGTGCTCAGCTCTGAAGATAGAGGTGACCCTGGGGAAAGTGCACCTGGAAACAGATAAAGTGGATTCCTTAGGATAAATACCGTAATGGGGAGGAGATGTGAGAATGGGGAACTCAGAGAGGAAGACATCTAAGACTGGAGAGGAGAGGGAGGGCTTCCTGGAGGAAGGGATAGCCATGCTAAATCCTTCAGAATAAGCAGGTGTTTGGCTGTCAAAGGTTGAGGGTGGGAGGAATGGTGTTCTAGACACTAGGGACAACAGGAGGAAAGGCTTGGCGGTTCACATGGAGAATGGGGAAGGGGGTTGTGTGGGTTGCTGGCAAGCCTGTGCGCCTGTGGTGTGGTCATGAAGCTGCCCTCTGGATTTGGAGCTCCTGGATTGGGAACCTGGACCAGGAGACTGGCACCGAGAGGGCGGTGCAGCTGGAGGGGAAGCAGGGGGTGGGAAGTTTCAGAGCCTCCCCTGACACCCCACCTTCCCTCAACCCCAGGGCCTGCCCCATCTTGGCCTCTCAAGCCCAAGTGTGGGAAGCAGAATGCACCCATTTGGGACACCCAGCACAATTCTGGGGAGTGGGGACTACTATCCCCATCTTCTAGATGAGCACACAGACTCAGACTTGCCCAAGGTCACAGAGCCAGTGAGTGGCTGAGTCAGGATTGAGATCATGACCTGGGCTCCAAATCCAGTGCCTTGGGTGCAGTGCGCTGGTAGGGCCTTTCACATCAGGCTCCAGGGCCCCGGTGGGGCAGGAAGGCTCAGAGCCCCTCATCCTGAGCACCTCTGTCTCTGGTCCGTATTTGTAGCTTCTAGGCAGCCTTCCTGGAGAGGCCCACTCCCGGCCTCAAAAGGCCTGCCCAGGGATCCCTGGGTGGCGCAGCGGTTTGGCGCCTGCCTTTGGCCCAGGGCGCGATCCTGGAGACCCTGGATCGAATCCCACATCGGGCTCCCGGTGCATGGAGCCTGCTTCTCCCTCTGCCTCTCTCTCTCTCTCTCTCTCTCTCTCTCTCTCTCTGTGACTATCATAATAATAATAAAAAAAAAAAAGGCCTGCCCAGCTCACAGACCTCTCCCTCTGTGCTCACTGCTTTACACTGACAGCTCTCTGCATCTTCACATGGAGAAGTGGGCAGTGCCATTGAGCCCATTATACAGATAAGTAAGCTGAGGCTCAGAGAGAGGAAGCTTACTTGTCCAGTCGCTAGCCAGGAAGTAGTGGAACCAGACGCTGAACCCAAGTCCATCCAATCCCAGTGCCACCTGCCTGTGGCTGGGCCTGCTTCTCAATGGCCGGTTTCACCAGCCCTTCAGGGTGGGAGGGGTTGAGGGGGGGCCTCTCGGACAGGAGGGGACCCCCGCTGGTGCCCCCAGCCCCTCCCACACGCATGTGAGTTGTGCTCACCGCAGCTCCATAGACAATGGCAGCCCCATAATTGGGAGTGAGTATTTCATGCGTCCCCCCTGATGTTTTATTGGGTGGAGAGATGCTTGGAGACCAAGCGGATGGCACATTCCGTTTATAAAGTGTGCGCAGTTTGCTTTATATGCCGAGTTTTTGCAATCTAGATAACAGATGACGCCCCGAGTGGCTGGCACTGCCTCCGTAATGGCGGCGCGGAGCCTTTGGAGAAGTATTAATAATAGATTGTGTTGATGAGTTTGGAGAAAGTAGCAATCGACCCCCTGCTGCCAAGGCATTAGCACGGCTGTTCCGAATGCAGCCGCCACCAGCCTGCATGGTGGCGGCGCCTGCAAATGCGGGTCACCCCAACCGCTGCCCCCTCTGCTGCCTAAGAGGACCTCCTGTGGCCCCGCCGTGCCAGCAGAGAGCTGCAGCCAGTGCCCGTCGGCTCTTCTCCCGAGGCCAGGCTGCAGACTGACGTTAGTGCGGTGTCAGACCAGGAGGTAGAGGTGTGGGAAGGGGACAGAGGGGCGGTGAGGGGGGGCAGGGCAGAAGCATCCTCCGTGTCAGAACATCAAGTTCTGGAAGACTGGCTCCTTCCCCAGCCCCTTGGCAGAGCTGGACGGCCAGCCAGATTGCTAGGGGCCTCTGCCATGGTCGGTTGGGTAGGTTGTACCTTGAACGATGGTATCCGGCCAAAGGGCCAGATCGGAGCTTGAAATCCAGCTCTTGTCCCCCTTGCAAACCCAGGCACTGTGTCTGCCTGCAGCCGACAGCCCAGCCTGAGCCTCAGGCCCCCTGAAGCCTTCACTCACTTGCTTTGGCAGCACCCATCAAGGCGGTTTTGAGGATCAGACAGAGCCAGGCCCTGCCTCGTGGAACCCCTATAGAATTGAAGCTGACAGGGGCATATGCTGTCACTGTCACGTGACACTTATTTACTGAGTTCAGTGTCATTGGACCCTGCCAGCAGCCCCGTTAAGGGAGGTCCTGTTGATAACCCCATTTCACAGTAGAGGGAACTGAGGCCTGAGGGCAGCCCAGGTAAGCACACAGGAAGCCACGTCCCCCTGACTGGGGTATCCAAGAAGGCTTCCCAGAGGAGGTGGTGTTGGGAGTTGGGCACTGCAGGATGAGTAGGAGCCTGCTCGGTAGACTAGAGGTAGATGGCAGGGGGTGCTGAGGCTGCCCCCAGTTTGAGCACCCGGAGCCAGTGCCAGGGCAGCAGGCAGGGCTCAGATTGGCCCTGTCCACTGCGCCCTACTAGCTCGTCATGGGCGGCGCTGATAGCAGCCCCGGGAAGGGAGGCAGGCCGAGTGCCTTGCATTTATGGCCATTTCTGTTCCAGAACCGATTAGTAGAGAATTGCAGCTGTAATCTGTGCCTGTGATGGCGGGCCATAAAGAGGGATGGGATGCGCACAGCGCTCCCAAGGTGGCGCCCGCAGACGTGGCCCAGGGACGTAGGGAATGAAAAATGGTTTTAATTCCCTCCCAGCAGCAATAATTTGATTCTTCATAAATTTTTCCATCAAAGTGTTGTTGAGGCTGAGTTCCCACAGAGCAGGGCACGTGATGGGGAGCGGGGAGCCCGGAGGAGCGGTCAGTAGGTAAGGGCAGAGGAGGGGCTGTGCTGCTCAGACCCTTCTGCACACGCTGGCCGGGGGGCATGGAGACCCCCTCCTGGCTTTGTCTCTAGAGATGGAAGACGGATCCAGTCTGTCATAGAGGGGCTGGAGCAGGCTCAGGCTCCATGTCAGCCCCATCACTTAGGACCACATGACCCCGAGCAAGTGACTCCGCCTCTCCGCCTCTCAGTTTCCTTATCTCTAAGATGGGGTTCATGCTCATTCTGTTTCATAGGGTTGTTGCAAAGACTAAATGCATCTCTGTGTGTGGAGTGCTGGCACTGCAGCGGCTGGCACACTGTCCTTGCTCCGTAAATGTCTGCACGTCGTGGTAAAGATACTTAAGTCAAAATGAGGGAAAAGTAGTGGTTAGCCCAGCCACGGGGCCAAGAAAGAACATGTGGAAGGGCCGGTGTGAAGAAACTGCAGGCTGTTCCATTGGGCCACAGCCTAGGAGAGCAAAGACAGTACGAGAAAGAGGCAGGATGTGAAGGGCCTTGAGGCACCAGGGAGTCACAGAAGAGTCTGGAGCAGGGAAGCAGCATGAGCAGATGTGTGTTTTAAACACCTTCCCCTGATTCTCCTCCTGGAAGACAAATTGAAGAGTTAGAGGGGCCAGGAGCCCAGGAAGGAGCCTGGGGCAGGTGCCCAGGCAGGAGAGGAGTGGCCCAGGGGTTGGGTTGGACAGGGCTAAGGATTGGTTGGATGTGGGGGGGTGGGAGGAGCAGAGAGGAGGTGGAGCAGGTCCTGGAGTGAGGGTAGACAGAACTGGTGGGTTGCCTGCCCTTCTCAGGCCCAATCCCACCTGGCTCTTGGGGAAAGTCGAGGCTGCCCTTGTGCTCTGCCCTCTAGTGGCCACTGTGTCTCTGAGCAGGAAGGGCCCTGAGATGACACACCCAGGAGAGGGCACCTCTGGGAAGGATGCCCAGCGGCCACCCTTCCCTTGGGCCACCAGAGCCCTGGGAGCCAAAAGAGTGGGGCTGCAGGGCCGTCCCACTGTCTGGCTCTGTGCAGGGGGCGGGCCTCTCCTACCTGGAGTGGAAGGTCAGGGTGGCAGGAGAGAGAGGCCCTTGGTGGGACCCTGAGCCTAGCCAATGTGCCCCCACTGTGCACCTGCAGGCTCTTCGCAGCCAAGTGCAGCGGCTGCATGGAGAAGATAGCCCCCACGGAGTTCGTGATGCGGGCGCTGGAATGCGTGTACCACCTGGGCTGCTTCTGCTGCTGCGTGTGTGAACGGCAACTACGCAAGGGCGACGAGTTTGTGCTCAAGGAGGGCCAGCTGCTGTGCAAGGGTGACTACGAGAAGGAAAAGGACCTGCTGAGCTCCGTGAGTCCCGACGAGTCCGACTCTGGTGAGCCGTGGCTGGAGCCAGGGGGCGCCGGGTGGGGAGGGGGCCCTGCCGCAGAAGCCCAGTGCCGACCCCAGGATCCAAGCTGCATACAGACAGTGCACCCACATCTTGCGCCTGTGGCACTGTTGTGTTCACATGCATGTGTGCAGGTGCACATGGACACTGATATGTATGCATGCCCCCAGGCTCACAGATGCACATGCAGGTACTACCACTGAGTCACATGTGCTCAAGCACCAGTGTACATGCTTGTGACCACATACACACAAGCACAGACAATGCAGGTGTGGATACCTGTGCCCAGGAGCATATATGTGCAGACGCACGGACCTATGTAGGTATGTGCTTATATGCCCAAGCATGCACCAACCCATACCCAGGAGCACACACGTGCACATACACTTAACCAAGCCTACATATGCACACATGACCCAGCTCACACATCACACATGCACTGAGCAGCTGTGCATATGGCCACACATGTTTATCCACATGTGCTGTAGTTTACGCACATGCACACACACACAGGTGCCCTGCTCTCTAGCTCCCCACCCTCAACTTCCCTTTGCCTTACTGTGGCCCGCACTATGGCACAGCACCACAGGTGTCTCTGCCTGCACCAGGTGCTGAGAGGCAGGGGTCTGACACGTCCTTAAGCAGCAGGAGCAGCTAATTGGGGGAATTGGGGCCTTCTGTGGTGGAGGCAAAGACCCCATTTCCCAGGATAAAGGCATCTCTCTACTCTGTTCCAGCCTCCAAAAAGACTGTGCCAGCGTAGAGCCCTCCTGGCAGAAGGGCGAATACAGCTAGAAATGAGTCTTAGAAGGGGAAGACCAAGGAGCACTCTGGGGCCCTGTTATTCCAGGATAGTGGGGAAGGACTGGGGTAGAGGGCTTGCAGAGGAGATGCCCTGGTCTTCTGAGCCCTTTGGGGTAACCTAGAGTCTGTAGTCACAGGACCTACCCCCATCTGGAAGAGCTTTGTGACTGTAGGGAGCTCCCCATCCATCCATCCCTCTGTCCACCCCTGGGCAGGGCACCGTGGTGGCTGCCTGGACTCTTAGGACAGAGTAGACACTGGCCAGGTGCCATTGGCCCATTCATATTAGGCTTAGGGGTCTTGGAGGGAGGAGACCCTCTCTTAGGGCCTGGGAAAAAGAGACCAATTCAGACTTGGGGGAGCAGGAGGTACATGGTGTCCACCTGGGGCTGGCATCTCTGAGACCCACAATTCTGGGACATGGAAGTGGCCGTGTGTGCATGGTGGTTGGGTGTGTCTCTGGGTGAATACACATGCTTCTGTGTGTGTGTGGGTGCGTGTGCCTGTTCAGGCGTGCCTGTGCTTGTATGTCCCCCACCTATGAGCATGTACCTGTGTGTGTCTGAATGTGACCACATGTGCCCAGTCCTATGTGGGCCCAGGCACCAGTGCACATATGCATCTGCTAGTGTTTGAGTGTGTAACTCTGTGTGTGTGGCGTGCATGTCATGGCCGTGAATACTCCTGTGTGAGAACATCTGTGGTGTGTCTGTGCCTGACAGTTCTTCATCCCTGGAAGCGTCAAGGAAGAAGGCTCCCTGGTCTCCTCTCTGGGTCCTGGGGCCCGCTGGCACCAGGCTAGTGCAGTGGGAACCAGTTTACTCAAAGGCTGATATGTGTGCTGGGGTCTCCAGAGTGCTGGGGGGCCAGCCATGGCTGGTGTTGGCAGGAGGTGATGGGGTCCTGCCAGGCAACAGATGGCCTCAGGGGACAAGACTGACGGCTGGGTGTGTCCCCCACAGTGAAGAGCGAGGATGAGGATGGGGACATGAAGCCAGCCAAGGGCCAGGGCAGCCAGAGTAAGGGCAGTGGGGACGACGGGAAGGACCCCCGGAGGCCCAAGCGACCCCGGACCATCCTCACCACGCAGCAGCGAAGAGCCTTCAAGGCCTCCTTTGAGGTGTCCTCCAAGCCCTGCCGAAAGGTGAGGGGCCACTGGGGTGGTGGGGCAGGGCTGACACCCCACGCCCGCCACTCTCCCAGACAATGCCCCTACTTCTCTTGCTGGAGATGGGGACATCCCTCCACCCCACCCCTCCCCTCTTCCTCCCCTCCACTCCCCTATCCCTCCGCCTCCCCCCCCCAAACTACCGCCTTCCTGGCCTGCTGCCCTGCCCCCCACCCCCAGACCTGATCTGTGTCCCTCCATCGGGCAGGTCCGAGAGACGCTGGCAGCAGAGACTGGCCTCAGCGTGCGCGTGGTCCAGGTCTGGTTTCAGAACCAAAGAGCCAAGGTGAGAGGCCACCTGTCAGCCCTGCTGCGCAGAGATGGAGGGATGGCTTAGGGGTACAGGCAGAAGACAGGGTCCTGGTGGGAGGTGCTGGGAAGGAAGGGGGGGAAGGGGGGCGGGGCAGGGAGGTGATGACTGGCATGACCTGTGTCCCCTGTAGATGAAGAAGTTGGCACGGCGGCACCAGCAGCAGCAGGAGCAGCAGAACTCCCAGCGGCTGGGCCAAGGTAAGCTGGGACCAGGGGACAGGGCCCAGGCTCAGCCTCCTGTAACAAGAGCCCCCCCCATCCTTCCACCAGGGGGAACAGGGCTCTGGGAACTGTTGCCTTGGAACCTGCTGTGATCAAGGGAGGCCATGGGATCACCGGGGCGGAATTGGGGCAGGGACACCAGAGAGATGGCTGAGGGTTGAGGGGTGGGCTGCCCGAGGAGTGACATAATATTTGCATGCAGAACTACAGCCATCTGGGGCACCCGGCTGGCTCAGTCAGTGGAGCACAGGATTCTGGATCTCAGAATCATGAGTTCAAGCCCCATGTTTGGTTTTTGGTGTAGAGCTTACTTCAAGCAAACAAAACACTGCGACCATCTCCCACCCTCAGGGTGTGCCAGGCACAATTCTCACCACAGGCAGTGCTCCGCCTCACTAATTCCCACAGATCCCAGAGGGGAAGGGCATTGTCACAGTGCATTTTACAGCCACCGAGGCTGATGCTCAGACCAGGGGACTTACTGGAATCACTCAGCTAGTAAGGTGCAAAGCCACCTCCACCCCAAGGGTGGGGCCCCAAGCTTGTGTTTTTAACATGACCATACACCCCACTGCCCAAATTAGAATTCAGCAGAAATCTCGAGAGAGTCTCCATGGGGTGGGGTGTTGAGGAGTTCAAGGTGGGCTCCTGCTGGATAGTAAGGAGCCAGTTTGAGGGACAGTGGCCAGGCCCCCGAATGCTGGGCTTTGCCAAAATGCTTTTACCATTTCTTGGGCCGGGGCTGACCTCCCAAGCCCCATGGGGACATTGAGCCTTGAAGAGAGGGCACAGGGAGCTTCTTGGGGGTGCCCACATGGAGTGGGAGCCCCAGGCTGCCTGTTCCCAGGTGAACCAGGGGCTCCAGGGCAGATGCCAGGGTACTGACCGGCAGCCCTTCTACTTGGGGCTCAGGGCCAGGCCAGTGTCTCCGGCTGTAGCTGACCCTTGGAGGCCAGTTATTTCTCTCTGCACCCTCTGCTGTCCTCTCCTTAGACCACCTAGCCCCCTGGGGCTGTGGCCACTGTCTCTGGTCTCCCAACTGCCTCCAAGATGCAGCCTCCCCGAGGATGTTCCACAGTCCCCCTTGAGCTCATCACGACCCATACTGCTCCACATAGCAGCCCCTGCTACCACAGCCATACAACACCCTCTGCTCTTCCCCACCCCCAGCTCAGCAGATGGCACCAGCCCCCACCCTGTGCCCACACCAGGAACCTGGGAGTCACTTCTGACCCTTCCTGTCCTACAGTCACTGTATCCGCTCCGCTGCCAAGTTGGGCAGTGATTTCTGGTCCCATGTCCCTCTCAGGAGTTTTCATTCCCACGTCCACCTTAATAGACACCCCAGCTTCTCCCTCAATATCCTCCAATGGTCCCTGCCTCCATCCTCCACCCCCAGAGGACCATCTTCCTCCCTATCCCTGGCCTTCTCTCATCCTCACGTGACAGCCCCATGCACATGGCTCCCTGCTTCCCTCCCCACCTTTGCTGCTTTTGGGGGGACATACCTGCCCCCCTGGAACAGTTGAACCCCTGCTGATTCTTTAAGTCACATAGAGTCAGGGGGTCCCTTCCTCCAGGAAGCTGTCCCTGAGCCTCTTTGGCCTGGGCGCAAGCCCCACCTTGTTGCTGCTGGATGCAGGGAGCTCACTGCACCCCCGTGTTGGACATTACTGCCTGCTTAGTGTCCGTCTCCCCCAGCAGTGAGCTTCTGGAGGGCAGGGCCATGGGAGGGAGGGAGGAGGTGGGAAGAGGAACTGATTTGAGAACGGATTCCTGAAGAGGAGCTACCAGGTGTATCTGGGGACAGGGGCTGGACACCTGTTCAAGTGGCCCTGGAACACCGTGGGCAACTAGGGAAGGCCAGAGGCGGTCAGAGTCAGAGGGCCCACAGTGGGGGTCTTGGCCGGCGGGGTCAGGTGGGAGGTCAGTGGGAACCCCTGTGGTACATCTGTGAGGGCTCCCTGGGGTGGGTGCTCCAGGACCAGGCGGACAGGGCTGGTGGGTGAAGGTGTGTTCTGTCCCCAGAGGTCCTGTCGAGTCGCATGGAGGGCATGATGGCCTCCTACACGCCACTGGCCCCACCGCAACAGCAGATCGTGGCCATGGAGCAGAGTCCCTACGGCAGCAGCGACCCCTTCCAGCAGGGCCTCACGCCGCCCCAAATGCCAGGTGACCACATGAACCCCTATGGTAAGCTGCCCCACCCCCTGCCCACCCCAGCACCACCCCTGCCCACTGCCTGACCCGGCAGTCCTGGGGTCGTGACAGCACATCCCACCCCAGGGCCCAGGCAGGCCCCACCAACACAGCCCACCTGCCGCCTCCTGACAGAAGGGGTGCCCTCGAGACCCCATCCGAGGCCCTCGGCACCTCTGGTCCTGCGCTGCCGCCGCAGGTCCTCCCATCCCTCCTCACCTCCGGCCACACAGCCTGCAGGGCTGACAGGGCCCCCTGGAGCTCCTGCACCACCTGGGCTCCTGACGCCCCCTCTGCCTCCAGGGAATGACTCCATCTTCCACGACATCGACAGCGATACCTCCTTAACCAGCCTCAGCGACTGCTTCCTCGGCTCCTCGGATGTGGGCTCCCTGCAGGCCCGCGTGGGCAACCCCATCGACCGGCTCTACTCCATGCAGAGTTCCTACTTCGCCTCCTGAGAGCCAGCCGGCCGCATGGACGCTTGGGCCAGGGTCCTGGGGTGGGCCTGCGGCCGCCGCGACCACCCCACCACCCGCACAGACTCTACACACAGCCATACGGTGCCCTTCCCCTGGGCTGGCCGGGCAGGCAGATGGGCGCAGCCTGGGCAGGGCTGTGTCCTGCCCACAGAGACCGTGTCACCCCAGGGGCCCAGAGTCTTGGAAAGCCACTCGCCTCCCAGTCCCACCTCGGCCTCCATCTCCTCCTTCTCCCTGCCCATCTCTTTTTTGGGAAGCTTAAATTCTCTCTATTTTTTTAAACGTCTTCTCTGTGTCCAGCCAACCTCCATGGGTGGGGCCTAGGCCCAGGCGGGGGCCCCCCGTGCATGCCCCCAGGAGATGATGTTGCGTGAGGTGCCTGTTAGCTAGAGAAGCGTGGGTCCCTGTCCGGGGGGCCGGTGCCCACCTCCCCCACCTCCGAGGGCGGGCCCACCAGTCTGGGTTCACCTGTCCCAGCCCGAATCTGGAATAGAAGTGGGGAAGAGCCTGGCAGGTGTACCAAGCCCATCTCGGGCTCTGCCCTGAGGGCAGTCCCTGGGGAAGGTAGACTGAGCCTCACTTGCAAACGCACGCACACTCGCACACTCGAAGGCAACCTGGGTGGATACGCACACAGATACAGAGACCAGCTGAAGAGGCACAGAGGCGCTGTGTGGGCCAGCCCTGCCGTGCCAGGAAGGGGAAAGAGGCCAGACGGGGCAGGGACCCCCTCTGCTTACAGCAACAGGAGAGAAGGAAGGAGGGGAAGGAAGGAGGAGAGAGTTTGAGGCTTGAAACACGGGGACCCAGGTGTATCCTGGCATCAGCCTAAACAGGTGCTGCCTGAGCAGGCAGGGCAGACACAGATCCCCCAGAACCAGGTAGGACAAAGGGCAGAACTTCCAGGTGGAAAGGAGCCTCACAGGTCACCTATTCGGCACATCATCTGGACTTTGGCTCCCTCTGCCTCTCCTCACATACCTCCAGCAGGGCGAGGAGGCCGCCGCTTCACCGGGCCCCGGGTCAGCTGCTGTTTTCTGCTGATTTTGCCTCTGCCTTTTTTTGGCCCCAAGTCTTCACTTGTGAAAGCCAGGCTCTTCCAGTTTCCGCAGCTCTTTCTCTTAAAACTGTACCCTCAGCTGGGCTCTAGCTTTCCCTCTAAAGGTGGGACAGAAATAACCGAATCTTCTAACTGACATCGGCCAGCCACCTCCCACTTTAGGTGCCCTGCCTCTGTTAATATGGCCCAAAATGCAGTGAAGAGTTGAGGCCGAGTTACCTGGAAACTCACCCTACCCTTCTGTAAGTGAATCCCCTGACCCTCACTCACGGGACAACTAAGCCACATCCCTCTTCTGTGTGTATTTGGGGACAGGGGCATTTCTTGTTCAGACTCGGGGGAAGGACCTTGAATTTTTTTACTTGCTACATTTTTTCTTATTGGATTCAGTCTAGCCTGTGGAGTTTCTCTGCACCCCCAACTGTGTGACCACTGGCTTGCTGTCCCCGCAATGTCGGGAGCCAGCCCTGTGTTTCTCACCCGAGGCACAGGAACCACCTGGCCTCCCCGTGTCCCAGTGTCGGCCTGTGACCCAGTCCTCCTGGGGTGACGCGTTCTAGTGCATTTCCCACCCTGTTTTGTCAGATGCCCCTCTGGGACATGGGAGCCAGGGAGACAGCGTTAGCCCCCACCCCGGATCCACTAAGCCCTAAAAGTGAGGTCAGGCTGATGGGCCCTGTTCTCGGTGACCCCTTGCTGGTCTCTGGTGGCCACTGTACCCTCCGCCAGGTGCGCAGAGCCCTGCCTTTAATTCTGATACCAAGCCCTAGGCCGCCGCCCCAAGACCTGCCCAGTCTAGCCTTGGAGCAAATAGGATGACAGGGGTATCTCTGCCTTTGGGCGCCTCTGCCTGACCCTCTCTGGGACCCTCTCAGTTCCCAGCCTGCTCCGTGGTTTTGCTCCTCTGTCCAGTGGGGACCCTTAGGCTGCCCCAGAGCGTCCCGTGCTGTTCATCGGAGCTGTCGGCGGGGCGATGTAGCCCGGCAGCCCCCTCGGCGGGACACCCAGGCAGTCCTTCCCTGAGCTCCTTGTTCCACACGAGCTCCCACAGGCTCTCGGCTGTCCCGGGTTTCCTGCAGCCTCAGTCCATGTGGGCTCTGTGCCATCCCCCGTCCTGGGCCACCAGCGGCCCCTGTAGGCAGCCAGCTGGTTTCTTGAGAGAGACTCCCTTTCCTCCTCTTGGGCTCACCTGATCCAAATCATGCTGGGGCATTTGGGGCGGGCCGGGGCACAACCCAGGCCCCCAGGAGCCCCAGTCCTTCTCTCCCAGACTGTTTCAGTTGGAAGGAAGCTCAGAAATGGGCATCTGGCCCACTTCCTTTATTCCCCAGCTGGAAAGCCCAGCTGGGAGAGGGAAGGGAGTGGGGGCACCATGCCAGCCCCTTCTCTTTGCTGAATGGCCTCTAGGTCAGGGGTGTGTGATTTGTCCTAGGAAACTCTTGCCATCCCCTCCCATGGTGGGGGGGGACACCTCTTCCACTTGGGGGCCTCACAACCTCCCAAGTCTAACCCAGGCTCTGCTCCCATTGTGAGCTGCTCCTTGCAAAGAGCTGGTTCCAAGATACCCACACTCATGTCCCAGAGGGGGTCCAAGCCAGAGGGAACTCAGACAGCCCCGTGGGCCGGACACGCCTCATCAGCAAAGCTAGGTCATTGCTGTGGGCTGCGGCTCACTGCCTGAGGTTCCCAAGGCTCCCTGAGATGCTAGTGTCCTGCCTGTCCAGCCCCGGACTGGTGTGGAGACACAGATGAACAAGTTGTAGGGTCCACCTCGAGGGGCTTTCTTCTAGGAGAGGCATCCACACTCCGACCCAGCTCTGTCCAGATGTGAGTGGTGGACCCATTTCCCGGATGAGGAACCTGAGGCTCAGAGGAAGGAGGCAAGTGCTCAGGGTGTCCCAGCAGAGGCACTCGGAGGCGGAGTGTGGGCTGAGATAAGCAGGCTCTTCCCACCTGGTGTGGGAGGAGTGCAGCCCTGACTTGGGAGCACAGCAAGTAGCCAGGAGCACTCCCCACCCTGACTGACTGACCAAACGACCAAACCACCGACAGACCTGTCATCAGTGGTGGCTGGGACAGGAAGCCGAAGGGAAGAAGTCTGGTCCCCAGGAAGAGGCAGGAAGTGTGAGGTGGGCAGGGGGAGTGTTGGAGAAAAACCGGTTCCGTTTCCCTGCTGGGGAAGGTGAGGCTCAGAGAGGGGAAGGAGTCTGGCCCAGGTAACACAGCATGAGGGGAGAGGCACGGGAAGGTGGGGGCCTGCCCCCAGCCACAGCCTCATCTGCTGGCTCCATGGAGCCTCCTGGAGGGCCACGCGGACAGAGGGACGCTGTGTTCCAAAGGTCGGACCGTAGGGCTAGCAGAGCCTGTAGGAGAGGGTCCCACACCAGGGCATGTTGGGAGGCTTCCTGGGGGGGGGGGAGCCCACCGCTGCAGCAGGGCCCATGCCAGGCCAGGCCCCTGTCACTGCCCCGGCAGGCAGTGAGGCTGCCTCACCCACCGGGGGAGCCTCGGGGGAGGGGGCTGGCCAGCCCCTGCCAGGCCTGAGCTAGGCATCACCCGGGTCAGGACCTCACCTCCTGTCCGGGAGGATCTGGGGCTCGCTCTGCCCTGAGGGGAGGAGGGTCCACATTCGCACGCGCACACACACTCACACCCGGACTTACACGGAGGCTCGCACACCCACACTCCGGGCACACGAGGCCTGCGGGCTGGGGGAGCAGGGAAGACCCTCCAACGCTTGGCCTTCAGAGGGTGCAGTTTGCAATGAGCCTGTCTGCCGGCGCCCCCACCCCACCCAGGGCCCCAGGGGGCCCAGCCCGGTGTGGGGACCAGCCACTGGCCATTCCTCTGTTTTCCTTGTACAGACTCTCACTGCCCACCCGCCATCCCCAGACACATTTTATTTAATAACTTGTCATTGTTAAATTATTTATTAGCGTTTACCACATCACCACCCCCACCCTGCCCTCCACGCTCACCTTCTGCCTCTTCCCACAAAAGCAGAAAATGCAAACACCAACAAAAGATGAGACATCAGTATATTTGTAAATAAACCAACCTGTACACGCCTGTGCTGCCTCTCCTTGGGGGGGGGGGGCAGGCCGCAGCCAGTCCTGCGCGGAGGACAACAGGCCCAGGAGGAGGGAGGGCTGGTGGGCCCCGTTCTCACCCCAACCCATCCCTTGTCCTATCCCATAATCCTCACACCCCATCCTGGGCCCATCCCAACCCCAAACCACCTCCACACTTAAAACAAATGCATCCATCCCATCCCACTGTCTCTGGTTCCCCAACATTCATTCATTCAAGCAACCGACATGAAGGGCCCTTTAAGTGCCAGCCAGCAGGCTGAGGACCAGAGGGCAGTGGTCTGTGCCTCAAGGAGGTAGACTGTGATGCAGGCTCAGGTGAGGTTTAGACAGGCCTGGTTGCAGGGGTCCCCAACCTCACCCAGGGGGGCAAAGCATCATGAAAGGCTTCCCGGAAGAAGCTACATATTAAGCTTCGATCAGAAGTCAGCCAGCATGGAGGAGACTAGGTGGGGAGCAGTGTCTGGCAGTGCTTCAGTCTTGTGCAGAATCTCAGAGGCACGCAAAACCCTGTAAATCTCCTGAATTTGCTCAAAGAATAGCTAAATTTGGGGGTGGGAGAGAAGCAGGGAGACAGGAGGCAGGGCCTCACGCCCGCAGGTCTGATGTTCTGATGTTCTCGGCCTCTCCCCACCCCTCTGGTGGCTCCTTCTCAGCCTCCTGCCCCCACCCCTGCGGCCACAGGTCACCTGGAAGCCACCTGTGGCTGCTCTCCCCCTGCCCTCGGGCACCAGCGCCCCCTAGGGGCACACTCCGCCCCACACCCCCTTCTGCAGCCTCTGGCTGATTCCAGCCACGTGGCTTCCAGGAGTCTAGACAAGTTGAGGCGCTCCGGCTCATGGCTTCCTTTGCACCCACAACACCCTGAAGAGCAAGTATTAAGGTCTCACTTTTCAGAAGCGAACCCGAGCCTCAGGTAGTGAGCGGCTCACTAGGACAAAGCTACCAAGGGGCGGCAGAAGCAGGGTTCAAGAAAATCAGGTTCGGCTGCAAACCCGTGGCCTCACCCCCAGTGTGGCCTCACCCCCGCTGTCCCCTCAAGCCCACACTCTCTGGGCCTGTGATCTGGTCCTCCGAGTTCAGGCTCAGGGGCCTGAGGATCCAGGAGACTCTCCTACCTTCAAAGTGGCCTCACTGAGGCCCGGAGAAATGGAGTCCCTCAGCCCGGCTGCACAGCAGACACCGGACCAAACCGGGTCTTCACGGCCAAGCCCCGGCCCGGCTCCTGTAAGAGGGGCCTCCGAGCTCCACCTCCCCCCACCCCAGCAGCAGGCTGCCGACTCTCTGCCTACAGCAACCGTTTAAAATCCTGTCACTAAAAAATGTGTGAGGGGTGGAGAGAGGGGCTGTGCTAATCCAGTGCTCCCCGGTCTCCTGCCTGTCTTCTCCGGGCCAGCTCAGAAGTGAGGCACGGGGGTGGGGAAAACACCCACGGGGTCCTTGGGGAAATAGGGCACGGGAGGAGGGATCCCTCCAGGCCCCCCTTTCCAGGGGCGGGGACAGGACAAACGCCAGCCATTCCCCACCACTGCTGGTCACAGACTTCAGCCCACTGACTGGCCTTCACAACAACCTGGAGCAGCTCTCACCCCATTGCACAGATGAGAAAACCAAGGCTTGCAGAGCAGCCACTTGCTCCAGGGTGATTCCTCCCAGGAACCTGGGGTTGGAGTGGGAGTTGAGAAGCCTCTGGTCTCAGGAGAGGGACATGATTGCGATCCCGCCCAACCAAACTTGTCTTCAGGGGGACTGAGCCCCTGTGCAGTGCTGCCCCCGGAACACCCCACTACTCCCGGGCCCCCAGCTTTCCTCGAGAACCCTGCTGGGCTGGAGAAGGTGAGGGATGTGCGCAGCTGCACAGAACCAGCAGCCACTGGGACAAGGTGTGGGGAGGCAGGGGGCCCAGCAGGCATTAGGACAATGGTCGGAAGGAGGGCTACCGCCACGGTCCCGGCCCCCCGCCGTGACTCTGGCCTGCTCCCCCGCATCGCACTGCACCTTGCACATTTTGCTTCACTCACTCCTCACAGCCCCTCAGGACAGGAAGAACCGTGATGTCCACTTAACAGATGAGGACACTGCCATCCCCATTGTTCCCAGGAGTTCCTACCCTACAGCCAGCCCCACTCTGCCTCAGACGCCCTCTCTGCCTCTAGTGTCCTGGGACCCCATACCAGGCTGATCTTGACCCCAGGGAACTGTCAGACAGGGGAGCTCTGTTTATGGCTTTGACTTCAGAGCGATCCCCGGGGCTTGACTGGAGAGCAGAGATAGCCTCCTGATTGCTTGTTCCCTTTGATCTTCATCTATTGCCTGGCAGGTGTCCCAGGACGTATGTCCTCCTGGGCAGAGCTTAAGTGGGAGCTATAAGAGGAGAAAGGAATAGAGGACTCGAAGCAAGCACAGGCAAGGGGGGTTGGGGCCTTGTCAGCTGTGCCGAAAATGCAGGGAAAAACTTCCTGGGGGGTACAGACCAGCAGGAGCAAGTGTGCAGAGGCGGGAAGGGCAGGGCATCAGTGAGGTGGGGACACATCTGGGTTGAATTCAGGATTCCAAGGCCAGAGATGGCAGGAGCTGAGATCCCTGGTGCTGCCCGTCCCACACTGGACATGCGAGGGGGCAGGGCTGGAGACCATTCAGGCCCTTGGCCCTGGCAGGACACCTGGCCCAAACCGTTCCCTACTTTAGCTGAGAATAAAGTCAGCACACTGAGATGTTGAATACAGAACAGTATCTATCTGTGGGCTAAAGAGAATAAACAAAACCCTCTGTGCCCGCTGTATAGGTCTAAAAAAATGCACATCTCGATGTCTTGGAACCCTTAATGTGCCCATTGGGCTCCAGGGGCCTTTAATTTAGAAAACTCTGATCCCAATCAGAGCCGAATCAGTACCAAAGTGGTGTGCGGAAAGTTCTTAGCACAGAATCTAGTCGGAATGGGCCCAATGGTAGGCAGCCCCCGGGGCAGCTTTCCTCTGTGACAGAGCACCTAGGACCTTTCTACGAGCAGGGCCTCCCTTAACAAAGCTGGGGGTACTTTGCTCCTAAATCCCCAGGACCAGAAGCTAGTTTGAATTTCACTTCCGAACATGCAGTTGCCCGTCAGGCCACGAGGTGGCGACCGGGAGTCAGGGAGGTGAGAGCCGGAGGGGCGGCGGGCCGGGAGGTGTGGGGATGGCTTCAGATTCTGGCAGAGAAAGAAAAGAGGAAGAAAAGTCTTCCGTGCGCCAGGCGCTGTGTGGAAGCTTTACAGGGATGATGCCGTGCATCCCTCATCACAACCCTAAGAAGCAGGTGTGAGCACTCCCATCTTACAGAACAGGAACATGGGCTCAGAGATGTCAAGTGACCTGGCCGAGGCCGCATAGCTAGGAAATGGCAGATCTGGGATTTGAACCAGAGCTGAGTCAGCGACAAAGATACAGGAGGAGGAAAACAAGGAGAAGCAGAAGGGGGTAAAATATCAACCTCTTCTTGCTTTAGCCGCTCCCAGCAGTTTTGTGCCTCTTCACACTGACCTGTGAGGCAGGTAGTGTCACTGCCCATTTTATGGATAAGGAAACTAAGGCTAAAAGCCAGAGAAAGGCTACTTATTATCACTGCCCTAGCTCCTGGGGATTCAGCCCTCCCTGAGCCCTGAGGGAGGACCACAAGGGTGAGTGCAGAACTGGTGAGCTCCTCCCCCCCCCCCCCCACACACACAGCCTGGCCCCTTCTCTTCCTCTGCTCCTCGAAGATGAAGAGCAGGCTCAGGCCTTGCCCAGGACTCAGAGCAGCCTCAGCTTCCCCAGGGACACCAGGGGGCTCCCTCACTGGAGCAAGATTCAGGTCTACCCCCATAGAGCACCAGCCCCTATGGGTGCTTCCAGAACAGGGGACCTGAGTCATAGCTGGAAGCTCCTGATTGGGAGTCTGCGTTTCATTCTCATCATGTCAGTCACTAGGGCCCTGGGGCTTGGAGTGCTCTGCCCCCGCTTCCAGCTTCGGGGAGTGTGCAGTGCAGTGCTATTAAGCTCCAATCCCGGCTCTGCTCTTCACTGTCCATGTAACCTTGGACAAGTCACTTAACCATCCCACGTTTCTTTATAAACTGAGGGGTGAGCACAGAGCCACCAAGAGGGTCACATGAGCAAGTGAACCTGCCTCAGAATTCGGCCAAACCCAGGCACTCAAAAAACAGGGCTAAGATTATTTGTGGGTGCCCCTACTTCTGTCTACACAGGAAGCTAACTCTCAGCTCCCAAGAGGAGCCCAAGGGCCTGCAGGGAGTGTTTGGGGTTGTCCGTGGCACTGGCAATGGCAAGGCTTCCTCTCAACCCTTTTAGGCCAGAGAAGCTTCTGGGAGCTGAGTTCCCTGAGACACCAGCATTCCTTCCCCATGCTCCGAGGCTCAAAGGCTCCTGGCCCTCCCGTGACCTCATGGGCCATCCAGAGGAGGCATCGAGGCATGGGCAGTGGGAGCTTGTCCCTGCCAGTCAGCGTGAGTCTTGCAGCCTCCTTGATCCAAGGAGGAGGTGGGGGCACCTTGGATCCGAGTGACTGAGATGCTGACAGCTCTGCTTCATACCACTGGGGGGAGCCCTAGAGACCGTGGTCCGTTCACAGACAGAAGGTTACAGGCAAGAGGGTTAAAGGCAGACCAAAGCTTCAGTTTATTGGGGCATTAAGGGGCTAACAAATAAATGGTTAATAAAGCCCTTCACTGTTTAAGCTACTTAGAGTTAGGTCTCTGTCACTTGCCACCAAAGTCCCGACTAAAACCCATACCATCTTACAGGGTCATCGGGCAAATTAGTGAGATCGTATTTCCATGTTTTTGACACAAAGTCAGTGCTCCAAAAGAATAGCTAAGATGATTCCCAACACAACACAATAACCACCCCCGTACCTCCCCCACCCCCAGTTCTGCAACATCGCCCCCCTTCATTCA